AAACCATGCATCGCGCAAGCGCTACCCAGTACCAGTCTTAGTCGGGGGTGGCGTTCACTATGGTGGTGGGGAGGGCGAGCAGGAAACCGCCGCTTTACCATCCGCCAAGGAAAGCGAACACAAACGTGAACTGCTCCGCTGGATACTACAGGCTCAATCATGCCGACAATATGTCCCAGGTGACCGATGCAGAGCATTCGACCAAATCAAAAGCAGGACCCTTAAGGCACGCAGGACACTTTATATTCCCCGTAAGAGGCCTAGATTATCAGCACCAGGCCCTGTTAGCCGACGGTAGGTCTGGAGACCCTGAAAAGAGGCCCATCAGATGCATGTGGAGCCTCATAAAAACACAGGAGGCCCGTGGGTGCAAGAGGGGGCTGGAGAGATAAACTGGAAAAAAGAAAGCGGACCGGAGGAGCCATATGGCGCAGACCGCTTGCGTGGAGAAAATCGCGTCGAGTTTTCCCCTCGAGTGGTCAGAGGTCGCAGAGGCTGCGGCAGCATCTCAGATGTTCTCGGGCAGCTCGGCTGGCATTGAGCGGCTGAATTAGCTGAGTACCACGCTCTCTGCAATGTCCAACGAGATATCAGATTGGTACTCCCGAGTGCATCAGCAAAATCATCGGCCCAGTAGCTCGCCAGCTTCATGGTCACATCATCTGAAATGCAGGCCACATAACGCAGCCTCGAGCCCGAACTGAAACAAGGAGGTGCCAAGTATGTATCACAGGGGTCACTATGCTGAATCATACTGATTTTCATCTCATGTACCCCCCTGTACTTATCCACTATTTGAACTATTAGTTGACCGGAACGAGGAGATGGCTACCAGAATTATATACATACACATACAGCTCGTCTTTGGGAAGGCCGACGATCAGTTCAGACAAAGCTTCTACATCAAATATATTGACATATGATGACCATTTTACACTGGGGTATACCGGATCTTGTTTGGGGTAAACATGATTTAAAACAGTCCCTTAGCTTGGTGTTGCCAATGCTGCATTCACAAGCAGTTAAGATAACCTAAACTGTATCGCCATCAAACTATGTCAGGGTTTCAAATCTGGTATATTTGTTTTCACTATGCACCTTGCTGAAAGACAGTCTGCAGCCCCAACTGAAACAATGTGGCGCCGACTGTGCACCAAAGGGTCACTATGCCGAGCAGTACCAATAATGATCTGCGTGCGCCATCGTTCAACGGCGATTTATGATGTTGTAATCCTGTCTAGACGCCACTGAAAAGTCCGTGTGTGTGTGTGTGTGTGTGTGTGTGTGTGTGTGTGTGCGTGTGTGTGTGTGTGTGTGTGTGTGTGTGTGTGTGTGTGTGTGTGTGTGTGTGTGTGTGTGTGTGTGTGTGTGTGTGTGTGTGTGTGTGTGTGTGTGTGTGTGTGTGTGCGTGTGTGTAACGTGCGCTTCGTGTTTTGTTAGAATGATGTCCAGGTCTTTACCCTCAACGATTTACTTGTAATGACGTCAGGTGAAACGCCACAATGACTGTGAATCCTTGATTAGTTTACATCTGAATCTGAATCTTAATTTAAGATGGTTAAGAGAGCGTTAAATACAATAAGATGCATTTAAAACGTCGTTTCGAAAATTGGGCGGGATCTGAGGGAAAACTGGACATAAGGTTTAGGGTAGGAAGCCCCTAGATGTTTGTCCACCTTGGAAAAGGTCTGTGGAGCACCCCTGTCCCTATTTGAACTAAACGACCAAACCGCACAGCTGAACTAACCCATTTCGCCACATGGCGATTTAATTGATTACACGTCCACAGCTCAACTCATTGGTTGGAACCAATCCAGTACAAAGGCTGTCGGGAAAAGCGCCTCGTTCTGTAAAGCGCTGAGCGTCGATGGGGCCAGACAGCGTAACATTTACGCCCACCCACTGCTCACACCTGTGATGAGCTGGAAAATATGTCAATTCACTGCTCAAAAAGGCATGCAGAACGCGATAATGCACCCATCCGCTGTTCACAGATATCCAGGGTGCGATCATGCGCCCATCCACTGCTCACAGGTATCCAGAAGGCGATAATGCAGCCATCCACTGCTCACATATATCCAGAGGGTGGTCATGCGCCAATTCGCCGCTCACGAGTGTCCACACCGTGAAATCTACGCCGATGCTCTGTTCACGCGTCCCCGCAGCGCCACATCTGCGCCATTCGCGTTTCACCGATATCCACAACGTGGCATATGGACCCTTCGCGTGGCTCATCGTCCCATCGCGTATCAATTAGCCCGGCCAGATCGCATAAATCAGACAAAAGTACAACAAAGCTGTGTTTGCCAACGTTTGGCGCCCCCTTCCCTCCCCACCGGCGAGCGCCCGCGCGCGCCACGCTCCCCTCCTTTAATCTGGCGGCGTGTCGCTAGCCTATTACACGGTACGTTAGGTATTCATACCATCAATTTGCCGCATATTAAATTAGCACAACAATGTGGCGGCATGAGTCGGCCGCCGAGTCAATCGTCGCTGCCCTGCCCACGCCACTCGTGATCCCGAAGCAGGCCGCGCCGCGTCAATAGTCGCACAAATGGCGGCGTGCCATCCAGCCGGCGCGCGCCAGCTAATCGCCGCCGCGTGCTGAGACATTCATGGCGGGTGAAAGGGCGAGCGTCGGCGCACCGGCTGCGACCGAGCTGCCGCCAGCCTGGCTGCATGAGCCCGCGCAGTAGGGGAGGAGGGGGGGTGGGGGAGAGGTGGCTGGTCACGTGTGGATCACGTTTTCATGGCTAATTTATGGCTGCCTCTCGTATAGCAGCTGTCTGAGAGAGTGTCTACTTTGCTGACGTTAGCTGCTGACTGGCTAACCCAGCAACTCTGACTAACCTGGCTAAACTGCGTGGGGGCTAATCTGCTAAGAGATAGCAGGGTCACGTGCGTGTCACGTTTTCATGGCTAATTTATGGCTGCCTCTCGTATAGTAGCTAAGAGAGTGTTCGCTTTACTGACTTTAGTTGCTGGCTAGCTCATGATAGAAACCGCATCAACTTCAACAAAATATTCACCAAACAAGCTGAAATATTCGGTTGAAATATTGATATGAAATGACTCGATTAAAAAACGCATTTGCAGATAATCCTATTTTTAAAATCGAGACCATCAATACGATTTTCACGACATCATCACATTTCGATTAAACTTATCCCATTCGTTTAGTCTACACAATAGTTTTGCCTGTCGCCGCTAAACCATTCGCCGTAGCGCTATAAAAGTGCGTGGCTTGTCATGCAATACGAGTGTTGTGTCAAAATTGCAGGCACTTTCGTTGCGCAGAGCCTGTTCCAGTCCTTTTTAGGTGGACACTGTTCTACGTCAGGGGAATATCAAACACAAGGCTGTGCAACGCACCTGTTACATTTTTGGGTAAACCAGGGACTGCAAATCCCCCCCCCCCATATGGTTATTCATAGGCGTCATAAACACTGCCATGTTCACACATTTTCTGGGAGAGGCACACTTAAGCTTGAGTACTAGAAAACGGGGATACTCATTTCCATTTACGTCGTCAAGGGGAAATTTTGGGACCATGCTCCCGCTGGATGGTGGTGGGGCCTTCTGGGCCCCGGGCTTTAGTACTTTAGGCAGCTCATTATACTTGCATGCCTTCTAAGACATCTGAATCGGGCCTTGAAGCATCAAAACGGGGTCGTGATAGTAAACAGTTCCCTGAATAAAAAATCAGGGCCCGTATACGCACGAAATGGCGTCCCTTTGGCTGAAAGAGAACCTTAATCCCCAATTTGTTTCTCTCCAGGACGAAATCCTGGCTACGCTTCTGCACACTCGTTCATTATTTGCAGATGCTTTCCTCTCGTTTGCGTGTGCTGCTAACGTATACGTAAATCGTCTCCATAATGCTTAGGTTGCATCAGACTGCATACTATGAAGCTTCCACGTACACAGCCGTGTGCATAATCACGTCGATTACGCATCATGAGGTGAAGGTTTGTTTTGCTGCCTTGCAGGTGTTGAGAATGATATTGGAACGCGCTGGGAGCACTGGTGCCCATTGTAAGGTTGTTTTTGTTCACCGTCCGGCGTGTCATTTGCGTACAAAAGCGTCGCTCTATTTCCTCGACCGTCAGGGACGTGGGGTCACACAACGCTGCAGAGTGGTGTCACAGTTCTTCAGCCCTGCAGCGGGAGAATTCCATTTTAAAATACTTTGGACCAGTGCTTCACTGGGTGCGGTGGATGGTTTGGTGGTCTACCACCATTTCTGGGCGGTTTTCACGGATCTTTGGGTGTTTACATGCGTGCATCAAGAGGAGACGCGTTTCGTAATGTACTATACATCACAATTAACTTGAAAGGTATATACCTCACATTTTAATGATCCAACGTAAACCAAAACGGCATATGTGACGCATCTCAGAAATCACACCGGTTTTCGCCATCCTGAACACGTCTAATTTCATTTGGTTCCTCACCATTGGATATATGACAGGTCCTTACATTCCAAGCCGAGCTACGCTTGTCCCGTGTAAGTTGGTTATTCAACATAGGCCTTTATCATTTTGACCTGTTAAACGTATCCCAAATTTTGAATTTGTACTATTGGCTCATGTTCAACATTGTGAGCCCGCGGCCTATAGTTTTAGTTGCAAAAATACTATGGCTTTTGTGGCTGTTGATCCTATGGCCTAGTATCTAGCTGGAAACAGCTCTTACTGGTTCTCTTGGCGTTGTGCAGTGGTGGATCATTCTTGGTTCTTGATAAATCTCTAAGCGCCGTTGAATGTCGAAACCCGGTTCTTACTGGATCTCCGGCTTGATTTTACACTGGTTCCTGAGTTCTTCTTGTTCCCGGAATCAGGAACCAGGAAACTGTTCCCGCGAGAAACAGTCCACCTCTGACCCCTTAACCCGGTTTACCTTTCAGGTGGCAGCCTCCGACTCCTGATCAGATCTGACCTACAGGTCCCTTTTGGGTGTGCTTACGCCTGACCGCCTGACAGCTGTGTCCTGACCACCAGGTGGCGCTCAGCACGCCCTGCTGGGGAAGACGCGGCGGCCCCGCACCGCATTCACCAGCCAGCAGCTGCTGGAGCTCGAGAACCAATTCCGCCAGAACAAGTACCTCTCCAGACCCAAGCGCTTCGAGGTGGCCACTAGCCTCATGCTGACAGAGACTCAGGTGGGGCACGGCATGACACGGAAGTCTAGGTGGATGCAGTCAAGTGAGCTCAGCTGAGAGGATCGTCACCGAGGACCGAGCTCGCTTGTGGAACTGGTATCCTCATCGGGGGTATCTAGCTTATGGATTGAGTAAATGAGTTACTGTACGAACGTCTGACAGGTGAAAGACGGGACCCCAAGCTACAGTATGGAAGACACTAGCTGACTGCAGTGAGCCGCCTTCTGCTGGTGAACGGGCCAGTATCCGACCCCTGCCGCATTTGGTACCACGCGCACAAAAAGTCTATCCATTTGAGGCCACGGTGGAAATCCTATCAGTGCGGCTTGCCACGTTCGTCTCGGTCGCATGGCTCTTGCGTGCTACGCTGACGACAAGGACGGAAAAATCCTGAGTACCAAAAAGCTAAAAACCTTTGAGGCAAAGGTAACTTCGAAATTAAACACGAGAGATCATTGACTTTATATCCATTTTAAAGCACTATTCATGCCTTTTTTGGGTACCACATGATCAGCGTCTGACGTCAGACAGCTCAGCAAGGACCAGGGAATCAAAATGGTTTGAGGTTGTATTAAACTACTTGTCATCCATTTGGCGTTAACTGACGCAATTGCCCGGTCTTAATAAGCCCACTTAATTTGTATCGATAAGTAGTGCATGCCAGAAGACCGGAAGCCCTGCAAGTCCTCAGCCAATGCAAGCAAGCGACCAGTACTGCCACAAGTTTTGTCTTTCCGGAGTCCATTTAAAGTTATTCATACACGAAGCACGTTTACTTCAGATTTATGACAACACAATACGTACGTATACCGCAAGAATGCCACTGTATGACGGTTTACAATTGTTCGTCAAGCGACTAGGGAATCATTAAACTTGTCAAACGTACAACAAATTATGAATAGCAAGTAGATTTCTTTAACACGCTACATTACATGAATTTTCTAGAGCATACTTCCCGGTGACGAGGAAAACCTTGCGGATACTACAATGCTTGAAGAACACGACATAAAAGCATAAAACGATTGTTATATCCATAGCACGTCTATCCTAGACCGCTTGCAAGCTCAGAAGAGATCAACAGTTAACGTTTTTGTTCATGACGGGTTGAACGGCTTGAGTAAAGACTTCAAAAATATTTTCGTTCGACATGGTCCCAGCGCTTTATTCATGTACCTATTAATTCGTTAGTTACAAAGCGGAGGATTATAATTCAAAACATATTTGAATTATTTTGGTGCCGTTTATGTCTTTTGTTTCTACTGAGCGTCTTATTTGGAATGTCAGTTTCATAACTAATGCGATATGAATAAATAATTATTAATTGACAGTTTCTGATATTACAGAAAGCTACCCATTTGAACATGTTCTTCTCATCCTTGCTCATCAGCATAGATAAACACCTCCACGATAGCCCCATGAACTTCAACACACTTTTCGAAACTACTTAATTACGCGCACTTACTGATCTTTGAGAAGTAGTGTCTTCAGCTACTGAGTGCAGGGAGAAGAGGCCGACGTCTCTAGCTCACAGACCACAGTGGTCGTGTTGGGCACCAGCCTAAACGGCCACAGGTCTTCAAGACTGCTTGCCAGAGAGCGCGTGAACGACTTATTTTTAGTGTTTTCACTTGCATGCTTGAAATTGACATTTCAAGCGAAATACCCTGCATATGAGTCTCAAGCCAACGTATTTTGTCTATCCGCACCGCCATGGGTGGGATGCCGTCGTGTTCGAGCTTGCGTGGTCCAAGAGGCCAGGAGGCGTGACACACGGTGTGTGGAACGAAAATGAGCACTGATTGGAGCACTGGAGCACTCATCAGCACCAAGCTTGAGGAATGGCTCCATATTTGTATGCGAGGAATTTTCCAGCATCACGCGATAGACTAATGCGCTTATTTTTTCCTTGATTCAAAATCGGGGGGGGGGGGGTTATAAACAAAACAAATGTGGTACCTTTTCGGGGACGCGTAGAACAAGAAGGTTGAGCGGAACACTCGTGGAAACTGTTCACGATTTTACAAATCTGTTCATGGTATGAACCGCCTGGTATTAGCCAAATCATATGCCTTCCTGTTGACTCAATTTTTTTTCATTTCTTGACTTCACAAGTCAAGCCCCAGGCACAGGACTTTGCCAACGTGAAGTCATCTTCACAGATTGATATGTCACTTAGATCAGACAATGCCTGCCAGGTTTTTTTCGCTGCACAAATTTCATTTCCTACAAAACATTTTTTTTATAGTGCTGCGCGGTGTACAAAAGACATCATAAACCCTTGACCAGTCCCCATCGCCCCAGGTGAAGATATGGTTCCAGAATCGACGCATGAAGTGGAAGCGCAGCAAGAAGGCGTCGTCGCAGGATGGCAAGTCCAAGAAGACGCCGCCGGGCGCCGTCGACGCCGAGGACCCGGAGGTGGACGTGTGCGAGCACAGTGAATCGGCTGACAGTGATGGCGCCTCCGAAAAGCCGGCCCCGAAGCCGGAACTAGAGCCGGCGGCGGGCCAGGAGCCAGAGCCAGAGTTAGAGCCAGAGCCAGAGCCAGAGCCAGAGCCAGAACCAGAGCCAGTGCCAGAGCCGCCCGTCGCCGCTGGACCGACGTCGCCCGTGGACCTGTGCAGCTTCGGGCCGCTGCGGGGAGAGAGCTTGTTGTCCGTGGGCAAGTTTGCACGAGACCCCGACCTCATGTACCGGCCGTACGTGGTGTAGGCGGTCATCTCCGCCGCCGCCGCCGCAGTATTACGTATTGTTGCTCTGTGGTGTGTTCTGCGAGACACGCCGGGCGGAATCGTGGTGCCGTTTGAATGAGAGGGGAAAGGGGACGGGCTGCCGGGAGCGTGCTTGTGTCGTCGACCCATGCCCGATGGTAGGATTGTTCAACGTGGCCAACGAGTGACTGCGACTTTGCTGGCGTCTCAGAGCTCTTATTGTATCTTAACATAAGTCTTGTTGTGTTGTGCTCCGTGAACCTGGACATACGGTGGTGATAAGCTGAAATATACATTTACAGCTCAAACTACCTCGTGAGATACGGCCATTAAAAGCATCGCCAAAGCATTATCAATCGAAGTCGTCTGAGCGAGTTATGCAAGGTATTCTAAGATCGAACAGGTAAATCAATCGGTATCAAGATGAAGATCATCTAAAGGTGTATCAGGTAGAGCAATCAGGAGAGAATCCTTATAGCTTCATAGGGTCTCTCCAGCCTATTAAGGTCACTTCTAGACACTAAGGGGATCCTCGGAGCTACTCGAGGCCCTCTCGGCCGCACACGGATCGCATTGACCGCTCAGGGCCCTCTGCGGGCTTGGGGTGCCCTCTGATCGCTTATGGGCTGGTTTCAATGCTCAGAGCCTTTCTGGTTTCTGAGGCTCTGACTATTGAACGGTCCCGAGTCCTCGGTTTCTCCCATGACCGTTCAGGGATTCACCAACCGCCACAGAGTCCCTTCTATCACCAATGTGCACCCTGATTACTCGGATCCCTTTGACCACCACCAACACCACCTACGTCTGGACATTGAGGGCCGGCAGGACGCTGAAACGCTCGTTTGCTCTTCCGAGCCATTTAGTTGTATCTTTGGGGCCTCCTGGACACTGAGGGTCTTACTAGTGACTCAGGTAACGTTATTTTGGTTCCGCAGATCTCATCCGAAGAGCCGCTACCCAAGAGCCCTTCTAACTGTTTCTGGGCCCTGCTGGCTGCCAGTTTAGGGTCCCCTGAGTGTCAGGAGGGGAGGGGGGCTCTCGACGCCCTAGACTCGAACGGTGACCCATACCCGCTATCAACCTGAAAACCGCACTGGTTCGGAAACATACAGGTCACAGACAAACACGCAATGGACACATAAGGTCCGGAATACATTCTGGACAGGCACGTTGATGTTATAAAACATTCCGAAACACTATGTAATAGCTATAAAGGAGCTTGTTTCATCATATCTGATGCCTGTTTCGGCATCCTCAAATGTAAAAAATTAGATTTAGCCAGAAATTGCTGGTAACGTGTCATCTATAGTTATGCACATTTACTTATCTACAGATTCTGAGAGGATCAAATGTCAATACAAAAACAAGAATCATTTTGAATTGATCCCATATTTGTGGTGGATTCTGCCATGGGTGAAGTTCTCTAATCAATGTGATAAATTCCAGCTCCGGGCCCCCGCAGCCCAACAAGTCTAGCCATTTCTACTTGATCAGTCAATCCCAAGCATGTATTGACAACATGCAGAGGGGGGGGGGGGGGGCGAGTAGGAGAGCATCAAGGAGGCAGATACTTGAGGGGGCAGATACTCGAGGAGGGCTTTTGCCCCTCCCCTCCCCTCCCCCTACGGAGAAACAGGGCAAAAGCACGTTTTTGCGGCCTCAAAATTTTTAGGAAGCTCCTTTTTCCTAAGCCAAAGGTATTGCAGCTGACCGTAGATTACCAAAATTCAGATTAGGGGGGACCCAAAACTGTGCTAAAGAAAAACAAATTGGGGTGACAAAACCCCTACCTACATCAAGATGGTACTGCTTCTGGCTCATGAGGCCACCTTTCATGAAAAAGACGGATCATGCTCTAGATTGGAAGGCCCAGCGTTATGTTAAAGGAGGCCCCATAGAAGTTTACCTATGGAGCCCCGTTACGAAGTGGGATGCTTCTGTTCTGTGTAAGGAGGCATTTCTATGTTCAGAAATCGCCCTTTCTGGAACAGGAGGACCCTCTCATGCATCAGATGGCCGCCTTTCCGAATCAGGATGCCCTGTTTTGGGATAAAGAGGCCCCTTGGCTGAACGTCGAGGCCCCCTCCATGAATCAGAAGCATCCCGTTCTGAATCAAGAGGTCCCTTTACGCATCGGAAGGCCTTTACTGTAACAGGTGGTCCCGTTTCAGAAAAGTGAGACCCTTTGCTGGATAATGAAAACGCCGTCATTCTGGATACTTTAAATGGTGACAATTGTTTTCTTGGATAGGATGCATGCAGTGATTTGATAAGGGGGCACAGATCATCGGTGCCCCTGCCCTTCAATACGACACTGTGAAGCAGGCCACTTTTTGGTGCTAGACTAAAGCATATTTTTCGGCAGGCCCCCTGGAAAATCCTGCCCTTTCCCAACTAAAAATCCATGGCGCCGCCCCTGCATTCCACGACATTTAACGATGCGTGTGAGCAGCTGAGCATCCCAGCATGGCGGGGAGTCGCCCACGCCCGCACATCAACTTTCAACACAAGAAGTGTTCGGCAGGGCTGCTCACCAATGTTCAACACTGGCTTCGCAAAGTTGGTCGGAACTGCGCCCAGTCGCGTTCCTACTCCCTCAGTCAGCCGTCAAGAGACCAACAAAGCGGTGCCGACGCCGACTCCCGGCTATGATTTAAGCGAGCGGCAACGTGTCGACGAATCCAGATGAGCTTCTTTCCACCGCCGCGCATCGTTTGCAGCGGCTAACGATCCTCAAAAATATCCCCCGAGGCCATTTTGCTGATTGGCCGGGGCATCTGAGTGGAAAGATTGCCAATGATTCATGGCGCGTTAGGCGGGCGTCGGCGTCGTCGGCGGCGCGACCGACCCATCCAATCGGGCCGCGCGCCGCGCCGCCCGCCCGCCGCCCGCCAACTGTCGACAGTCGGCCAGCTAATGCATTCAAATCGCATGCAGATGGCCCGGCGCGTCGTCAAATGTAAGGAGAAGCGCGGCCCGAGTGGAGGATTTGTGGTTTAACGACGGCCATCGGGAAGCCGGCAGCCGCGGCGCCATCATGGCGGACCGACATCAACCACTCGTTTTCGGGCCATCAATCAGCGAATTAAATCGTCAACGGCGGGATCTCATCCGGATAAGAGCGTCGGCGAGGCGGCGGCGCGGCGGCACCGGTGGCGGCCCGCCCCCGGCGCGGCGGCACCGAGCGCGGCGCGAGGGCCGGCTCACAGCAGACCTTAGTCGGTCACCGAGATCGGCGCTTGCCCTCGATCAGCCTTTCGATGGCAGCGTGGCGACGGCTAATGCGAATGTTACGAAAACGCCCAGTACCAACGAGTTATACAGAATCACGACGTAGAGGACACCCGAAGCGCGTTTTCAACAGGAACGTGGCCGATCGTTTCTGGCTCTCCTAAAAGTAGTGACCAGTTTTCCGGTTACGTTCTTAGCTCGTAGATCCGCAGATGCAGCTCACAAATTTTTCATCTGAAACTTTCCACAACGACTGATTTGGGAGATATCTTCACCGAGCAGTCTGCTGGCGCTGAACGCGCCCGAGGCGGTGTGACGTCACAACTCAGGCGGCAGCCGGCGACGCGGCGCTTCTGAGGTTAGCACACCACATTTGCAGCTCGCACGGCGCTATTGGCCATTTTGTGTCTGGAAAAGCCAACCTCCCTCGGCGTACCCGGTTAAAATTTGGATGCACGGGACGCCGTGAAATTTCCCACTTTCGAGGCACAACTCCCGGCCTCTGTAGCGCAGTCGGTGATGTGACGGAGACATAATTGTAACGTCGTGTTCTTGCAACTGGTCTGATCAAGACATTTTCTGCCCGTTTTCTGAGGATAATTTTGAATTGTTTGCTTACGGCCAACGTATTTTATCAGTGTAGTGCGCCATTCAATTACGTAATCATTAAAACAGCGGTCTATCGCCGTCCATTTGCATTTTCGCAGTGCCAACCAATGGTTTTTTGCATCGCTTCCATCGACAGATCACTATGTAATGTAAAAGCGTTACTTTGTGCGGTGATCAGCAAAGCTTTAGTCTGACACCACGTGATGGGGAAGAGCAGCAAATCTGATGCCTTAAACGAGCTTGTGACATATAAGCTGAAGAGCGGGTGGAAGTGTACACTTGCCCTCACCAGTGTTCACGCGCGGCCTTTTGTATGTAGCACTGTTGTGTGCTGGGAAGTTCAGTCGCAATAGAAGTGCAAGTGCTGATACAGGTAGGACACCAAAGGTGGGAACTGGTGGTGGAAAAGAGGCGGGATGGATCTCCTTAGACTGGTTCATGACCAACGACCTTAGCTTCCCTGCCCAAGCGTTACGCCGCGGAAGTTCAGGTTGAAGCGTTGTTTGAGGACAGAAGTCCTGCGCGAGCTTAACCGGCCGTGAAGTAATATCTTACCGAGCGAGAAACAGCTGCAATCCAAACATGCACAAGTGAAACACCTAGGGTACCTGTGATGCTTCAAACTGCCTAAAACATTGTGACTCCGCCGAGCCGCTGCAGCACCGTACCGCGGGAACCGTCAGTCAGCAGGTCGCACCATATCACCGAAATATGGTGCGAAATGGTTAGCTGCAATCGCCAAACAAGTTCATCGGCGGCGTCACACATATTACGTACCAGGTTATTGGTAATAAGCTTGACCGACATTTTAGCAGCCGTGCAGTGGAGACCGACTAAAGCAGGACGGAGGTGGCGCGGCGTATCGCTGCGATGGAGATACATTCTCTTTTATCACCCTCCGGAGCCGCTTTGTATTCTAGTGGGTTTTGCGTTTTGGGGGGCCTTTGTAAAAAAAGGCTCACTGCAGATTGATAAAAAAAATTGGTTTGCTGAATTGAGTTAGTGCGCTCGTGTTGTGATTGCATTACTTTTGTTTTGCTATTACAGTGCACCAGAATGGCTAACTAGGCCACATACTGTGGTGGATGATCTTCATTCTGCTTAAGCCAGGGGCGTGGGGACTGGAAATGGCAAAAAAAAGGCTACAAAGATTGCACAATCCTGCTCAACATGCCATGGCTGGCTTTCCCAATACATTGCTTCGTTGCGGGCTTTTGCATTTTGACAACTGACTTGAATTGCAGAACCAGGATTGACCGCATGACATGAACAAATAATCAGGTGTTTCAGGAGATAACTACTCTTGCGCCACTGAGACTGCTCACCGAAATCAAGTCAAGTGTTTCAGGAGGTAACTTCTCTAATGTCACTGTGAGTGTTCACCGAAATGTAAAAGAAACCAATCAAACCGACCTTGTGCCGTTTTCTGCAC